AGTGCTTCTGACTGAGATCACTTTGTCTTTGCATCTAAACCCTCACCCAGATGAAAAGAAGGGTGGGATTAAAGCACCAAACAGATAGGTACCACTTGCTGAGGCCTTAAAAGATGAGTTTAGTGGTGATTCACTGTATTGGAGCAGTTTCATTTAAATGGAGTTTTTTATCTAGCAAAGTCCAAGTCAGTTTACAAACCACATGTAGGCATGGAAGTAAAATATGTGTAACTTTAGTCTCATTGAGATGATATATGGGAGAAAGTATGGTGGTGCTATAATAGAACACACTTTTTCTACTTGGACACTTCAGTTGAAATGAAGAACCATCCTTTGAGAACCAAAGCTTCTCCTGTATTAAAATCTACACTAGTGTTAATCAGTGGTAATGTGGAAAATATGATTATCATATCGCTCCTGCTTTATTCCTGCTATTTTGTTGATTTCAGACTGTCCAACTACTTGCAGTAGAGAGTAAATACTGTCTGTGGATCATGTTTAAGTGGTAGGCTAATATAATTACAGTAGCCTTCTGTAAGTGCCTTTTAGGGCAAGAAATAAAGAAACAGCTAATTGAAACAAAACCCAGTGTATATCACTTTGATGACAAGCACTCACAGAACAGTAGAGTCATGTTAAAATAGAGTAGAATGTCATTTTAAAAGCCTTGATCTCTGAAAAGATGAAGCTCTGTAAGGAAAAAGGACTTGCAACCCTTGAATCTTCCTTGGTAAGTCCTGTAAGACCAGTGGAAGAAAACTTCTGTGAGTCTTTGGTAACTCCTGTGAGGACAGTTCCTGCCATGGTGGGCTGCCAGTGGTGAAGTGCCTGTCGTTGAACACATTTCATAACCTGAAACTAAAATGCCATTAAAGAATTTACTTTCTTAAATAAAATTAGGTGAAAATGGTCATCCTGGCAAGCTTCCAAGCCCTCAGGAATATGTGTGAGAGAAGGTGTTGAGGCATAAACACTGACAAATGCAGTGTGGTTGATGAGCATCTTAGAGATGTGTGATGAAGGATATACAGGTGTAGCCTTTGAGGATTGGGTCTAGCTCCAGCTGAGGGCTTGATTCAGTATGTTGGACTGAATGTTTTTGGAGAGGATGTTCCTGAAGGAGAGCCAAAAGACTGTGCTAGAAGTGGTATTTAAATTCCTGTGAGGATATTAAGAGGGGCTGCACTACTGTGCTTGAGGTTGGAGAAATGAAAGATCTTAAAATTTGACTTGGAAATGCATTGCACGGTACAAGGAACTTCAGTGGGAGAAATCTGATACAGGGACAGATACTCTCTTTCATGTCCTAAATATCTATAATGGAGTTCTTTTGCTTTTAATTGAGCATTCTACACAGCACCTTGAAAATGTTAGTGTTAATCTGTTCTCTGCTTTTTAAGTTTTCTCATTTTGTGTTATATTCTGGTTTTGCCTATGTTTCAGATAGCAAATGAGTCAGGCACGTGCTGGGTGTGTCTGTATTTAGGAGAATCCAGCAAACAAGTATAATTAGACTTTAAGAGTTCAGTATTAGTACTATTACAATGAACATTTTCCCAAGAGTTACATTATAGTTGGGTTTGATTTCATTTACTGAGGTGAAAACAGTAGCTTGTGTTGACCTGGGGTGTGTGCTTTGATCATTTGTATTAATAACCTCTAACCACTTCCTTCCACCCACTCCTATTCTGCTGCTTGTGTAAATTAACCTCTGCTATCACTTCAGAGTAAGGTTGAGATTAGCTTCTTTTATGTCTTTTCAAAAGCTGTGCTTAACTCCATGTAGTTACTGCATTAATGTAATCTCAGGTGGGACATTTCCAAAGGATTGTTCAGTTACACTATATTTTTCTGCTATTCCACATGCTGTTCTCTTCACTACCTTCCAAGTAACTCAGTTTCTTTTGATTTTGATCTGAATGTACTAGGTTGATGTGAGGGGTTTTTTTCCTCTTAAGGGTGTAATGAGCATTTACTTTAAATATTTTTGTTTGCTTTCAAGCGAGCCTCCAGTTTCTCCCTCTTCCAGTTCCATTTGCTTTCCCTGCCCTGCTGGCTTTTGTGCCATCAGCTAAAATCATAAATGGCAAACAGCTGGACTACGCATGTCTAACACCATCCTATTTCTGAGTTGCTGCTAAAGTGAAAACAAACTTAGATTTTTTTCCACAGTGCTTGGTAGAGTTCTTCTAACTGGAGAAAACTGCTTTCAGTGCCATACATATATCCCTTAAGGACTGTATCTTGAGGTGTGTTAAGGAACCAGGCTGTTCTGCAAGTATATGGGAGTCTTCTTTCATTTTCACTTTCCCCTCCTTTATGAAAAATAACTTAAAAATAAATCTTACTCTTTAACGCAAACAGCATTCATGCTTTGTTATTAGTCAACTGGACTGAGAGACTGTCTACAGAGTATTTAGCTTTTGTGCTGAGAATCACGATTAACAACTTTCTGTCTTTACAAATTAGACCTATGTTAATTTGGTTCTTATTGTATTAGCTTGGAAATACTCCATGCGTCCCCTTCTGGAAGTGTTCAAACTGTCAAAATGGTTACGTCACTTACAGTTAGAAACCTTCTTGGAAGGAGCCCAAAGGTGCAGGTCAAACACAGAAATACTGAGCAAGCAGCAGGGCTGGGCTGAGGGCAGCTCAGGAACCCGAGGCAGAGCCATTGCCAGCAACTGCCAATGCCACAAAGGTGTTTGCCCTGAGCAGTGTGGGCTGGGACAGGTCGGGCACAGGCAGATCCGCCCTCTGCTCAGGCTGGTGCACGTGGACTTCCACATGACTGCAGGGAGTAATTGCTGCCTTTCCTCCGAAGATTAGATGATCTGGGAAACAAAGGTCATTTAGGCTTCTTGTCTGCTATACCTCCAAGGCTCCCTAGGTAGAAAGCATCTAGAGTTCTTGGTTTTGGAGTGGCAGCTTTTTGCAGAAGGTGTGGGAGGGTAACACATCTCTGCTCTCTTGCAGTCGTTTTGCTGTTTCCCCCATAATGTGCAAACGTGCAGGGATTTGGGGTTTCCTTTGTTTGCTTCCTGTTTTAATCCAAAATCCAAGCAGCTCACAAGAAGTAAAGCGTAAAATCTCCCCAAGCATGCAGTGTGGGTGTCTCCTGTGTGACAAGTAACCGCTTTTGCAAGTCCAAAAATAGCCCATGTGCTCTGTGCATTGGGAGCATTCTTGGAAACACTGCATGGATTCAGTGCACGGGTACATGCCAGTCACCAGGCTTCTGTAGCTGTCACCCCACCCTGTGCCTGCTCCCCAGGCCTGTGAGAGTGAGGGTCACAGGCAATTTTTTTGCATCAGAAAGGCAGCAGAAAAAATGAGGATTGACTGGCAAGTTTTATGTGTGGGCTGGTCCCATCTCAAGAGAAAGCACTGGTGTGTTCTTGTCATACCACACACGTACCAAGTGTGTTTTGCAAATATTCCTGTGACCTCTAAACAGACAATAATATTTCTAAGTGTGGATAGCTGACAAATTTTGAAGATTTAGGACATGAACCCACCAGCTCATATTCCTAATCCTAATTATTCATGCTCATAATCCTAATCCGTGTAAATTGCACCAAATTTGTTGTCGCTGTTCACTCAGTGAGTCAGGGCAAGGTCTCTCTGCAGGTCCCATGGTGTTCTGAGCACGGCTCCTGGTGCTTGTGTTTCCCTTTTGGATAGCTTCTGTGGCAAGCTGCCTAGCTTAGTCACATCCTGAAAATAAGTAAATCTAACTAACTTCTCCTGTTGCTGAGCCTCTTAGAAGTGATGGAAGTTGTAATTCCAAGTGCCTTGGCCTGTCTGGAGGATTTTACAAATCCTTGGGAGTCCAGAAGGAGAAAACTGCTGGTGTTAAGGCCCTGGGCCTTTTTGTCACTGGGAACAAAAAGACAAAAATTAATTAAAAAAAAAAAAGTGGGAAAAAGAAATTAAACCCACCGCGACCTGGGTTTTGCGTTGACCGTGGAAGCCGGCTCCTGAGACTGTTGCTCATTCCTGTTCTAAACGCGGTTCTTTCTTGTTTCTGCCGCGAGAGGGCGGCGGCGGCGCGGGGAGCCCGGCGTGGCTCGGCCCGGGCCCGGCGCTGCCTCGCTCGGGGCTGCTGCCCCGTCCCTCCCCACAGCCTGTGGCACCCGGCGCACCCCTCACACACCTCTCTTGCAGGTCACCTTCCGGACAAGGATCTACCACTGCAACATTAACAGCCAAGGCGTCATCTGCCTGGACATTTTAAAGGACAACTGGAGTCCAGCGTTAACCATTTCTAAAGTTCTCCTCTCCATCTGCTCCCTCCTCACAGACTGTAACCCCGGTAAGTCCACCTGCGCCTTGCATTCCTCCCAGCACCTAAACAATGTGGCCCTCCTCACTCCATTGGTACAGCCAGCTCAGCTCATGCCTCCGGTGGTAGAGCACATTTCCCTCTTTGGGGCAGTCAGAGAGGGGCTGGAGGCTTTGGAGGGAGATATCCCTTACCAGTCTGCTGTTCACTGCTCCTCAGGCTGACCCATGGGGAAACAAGCGATCCTCCTGCACATGAAAACTCCTTCCCCTTCCAAACGCAGCCTTTGCTGCTCTGTAGGGCTGCAGTAAATCAGTAACGGAGCTTGAAGAGCCACAAACAGCTCTGAAAACGGGGTTGACCCTTTACTTTCCATCATCCATTTAAAAGAAGTGGCCAACTATGCCACAAGTGGTCATCACTGCTGCTCTAACCCAACCGCTGTCCACGCGAGTTAAGAGGAATATGTCTTCACTTCCAAAGTCATTTTACAGGTTGCATTTTTATATGTCTAAAGAGGGGAGAAAGACAAGATCTCACAGTGTACTAAACTTGTTGTACTAAACCCCTTCTTGAGATTTCATCTTTTCTAGAAGGCAGCTTTACATTGTTTACAAGTACTTGGCATGAGTACCTCAGGCAGCCTTAGAAGGAATAAAATATACCTGAAATGCATGAATTGGTGAAAACCCTCAGTAATGCAAAATATGACTGATTGTTGTGCCTTAAACTTCTTAAAACTTTATTGGCATTTCACACTATTAAATTACAGATTAGTACATCACCATAAATACACAAAATCAGAGAAGATACAGATCATCAATTCAGTATGCTTAGGTTGTTACAATGTACCTTACCTGTGTGTTTGCCTTGTATGAAATTTACACTTCAGCTTTATTTAAAAGCTTTTATTGAGTAACTTGTCTGAAATAAGCGGTGTGTTTCTTTTTCAGCTGACCCCCTGGTTGGAAGCATTGCCACTCAGTATATGACTAACAGAGCAGAGCATGACAGAATGGCCAGACAATGGACCAAAAGATACGCTACATAAATTGGATTTTCGTCAAACTCTTACATTATTTGTCTGTGATGGAAAGAGCTGCTTATGATTTTGAAGGGGTGGGGGGTGGGAGGGTGCTGGTAAAGAGTAGGGTATTTCTATAACAGATTTTATTCAGTCTTTTATTTCCTAAGATTTTGTTGTTGTAACTTAAGGTATCTTGCTACAGTAGACAGCTAGGATTTGGAATAGCATACTTTAAGACTGTAATTAGTTCAGCAATATTAGCTCACATATAGTACCGAGAAGAATGTAAACTTCCTAGACTTCTTTTGTTTTCAGTTTGCTTGCAATATGTAAAAGATTAAAACAGCTTAATTTTGTACAGGTACATAGGTTGACATTTATGTAAAAGTCCTTTCAAGACTCTACACACTGTTTTTGCTTTTTTGTTTGTTTGGGTTTGAGGGATTTATTTTGTTCTGGGTTGAGTTTCCTTTTTTCCTTTTTTTCTTTTTTTTTTTTTTTGTAAAAAGATGTTGGGATTGTTTTTCCCTATGGGGGGCACATTGGTATTTAACAAATCCTTTTTAAAGACTGTCATCTCATGATCTGTGATATGGAGAGGTGGATATATGGCTTCATATATGAAATGAGAAGTAGTTAATGTATTATTTTATAAGCCAATCTATCTTTGTGAAAAGAATAAAGGGTTTAATCAGGACTTATGGTAACCTGTAGTGAAATACCTTAAGCTGTTTAACTGTAAGGTGTGGAATAGGAGTCACTCAGTGGATTGGTTGTATGTTGTGGGCTACTTAAGTCTGCATTTGTTACTGTGCTAATAAAAAGATGTTTAAAAAAAAAAAAAGAAGAAGAAAAGATTTCTGCTTAGTCCCTTGCTTTGTCATTTTGCTAGAATGGTGTCTCTGTAAGCTTTGTAGGATTTATGCTGTGGTTAAGGACAAGGGAGATCTGCAGGTGAGTGCACTGACTGCTGCTATTTTAGGAAGACAGTTCTAGACAACCATACAGTGAATGACAGCATTAGACCTTTACAACTGTTCACTAAGTGTTCTGCAGGGACCTGGCCTTGAGAAGGGAACTTGCCACAGAGGCCACAATAGTTACTTTTCAGCTTAAGTTTTCACAGTGGTGCCTCTGCAGGACTGGCATGTTGTTTGAAAGTACAACCAGAAAAGTGTAAGCTATCTGGAAGGGAAAGAGGCGGGAAGTAAAAAAAAGAATGTCTTGATGCTTTTCTGGTGGAGTGGTCTATTCACACCTGGAAGAGAAGGAATCGTGTCCTGGTAAGGTAGCAGACAACACCATAAAGGAGTATCTGTACATCCTTTAACTACCTATAAAGATTATCTCCTAGAGACATGGTGTTTGCATTGAGGTGTGTAGCAACAGGGCAGTTAATTGTGGAGATGGCATTTCTGACCACTCCCTTAAGGTAAGGGCCGGAAGCACAGATTCATTTTTCATGGTGAGCGCTTCACCTCGTGACATTCTTGTGAGTGCTGGGTGGTCATCTGCGCTCTCAGATTTGGTTTGGTGCTTTAAAATAAATCTGTATGTATTTCATTTACATACTTCTCTTGCTGTCTAGACACAGAGCAAATCTAACTTGCTCCAATGTAATCTTTTAATCAGAGGTGTCCTTTCTTTTGCTGGGTGGGTAGTAGCGCTGTCCCCTCATCAGCTGAACTGCCATCATTTGACACAGTGCATGATTGATGTGTGAGCTCCCTCAGCTGTTTGGTACATAGCTACATCACACTGGGAGCATCTCTGGTAATCTTTCCTTCTCCTCTACCGAGTAAAGAGGTAAATGGCTTAATCTCAGTAGTGTTTTGCCAGCTTCTTTCTTTGTGCCACCAGGACACATCAAATTAACTGTTGTAACTGGTGGGGGCGAGTGATTTGTACAGTGTTTATTCAGCAGGGTAAAGGCTTTAGAGGAACTGAGAAAGATGGTTTTGTTTACTAATTTGTTTTTCTTCTTTATTATAAGTTTTCTCCATTATCTTGTGAAGGGACTCTGGTTTTGCAGAAGGTAAGTGATCCCAGTGACCTAGAACAGGGTTTGAGTCAGTGGAACAGGAAGAACAAAATAAAGGTTCTGGCCATTAGGTACTACGTTATACTCTGTACTTTGCTTGTTCACCCTGTGTAAAACTCTACTACAGCAAGTTTCATTTTTACTCAGTACCAGCCACTGTGTGCATATCATTTGCAGAGGAGACACTAGATTTTCCATCACTTCTCAGTAAAACACTATGATATTTAGAAAAACATCAGAGTAAGTTTATGAAAGAAAATAGTGGGTGGTGATTTTCTTTTTTTATCTGAATGCCTCGAATGATTTAAACTCTACATTTAGCCAAATCAAAGAAAATGTGTTTGCCTTTATGTAGCGTATTTGGGAAAATGGCCCTAGTCATTTAGAAGATACTGTTTCTCTTGCCTGTCTTAAAATACTGTCAAGTCCTGGGAGTCCAGGGGAGCAAGTAAGCAAGCTGCACTTGCACTGCACAGCTCCGGCAGCCTACAGGTGACATCAGTCTTGGCAGAAGAATTGGCACCGAGTCTGCAGCATGCAGAGCTGCACAGGAACCAGTCATCCCCATTCTTTCCATCTCCAGGCATTTTAAGTTCATTCTGACTAGTCAACCTGCACTCCCTTGGCTCAAGGGTCAGCTTTAATGATGTGCTGTTAGGAGACATCTTCACTTATTTTGATTGATCCAAGGCTGATTCTAGTCCCTTCCAGAAGGGTTCTGCAGAGCTGAAGAAGAGGAACATGACCCATTCCTTGGTAAGAGGTTGCAGTGAGGAGGTGAACCACTGCTGCTCTGAAGTCACCTCCACTTCCCAAGCATGCAGGTAGATACAGAGTCTTCTGGGTAGGGAGAAGCCTGGAGCACACGTGTGTTCAGTAGGAAATGAGTGAGGAGGGAGTGTCATCCATGGGGACAATGACTCTTACTGGCCAGGTGCGGGTAGGTCGTGCTATCGTGCTTACTCAGCTGCAGTGTGGAAACAATTGTATGTTCCTAGCAGGGCATTACAAGAGCTTGCTCATTCATAATTGCTCTCTTATCTTACTCCTTGGCCACAGCAATTCAAACTACATTGAGCAAAGCACATAAACAGTTTCGTCTACCTTCATTATAATGGTAGGGATTCCTGTTTAATTTTTAGTGAAGTGTACTGCTGCTCTGACATTAATAATGTTGACAGACCTTAGTAATGCTGACAGGCTTTATTAATCAGTATTCAGGAAGAGCAATACTATGAGCTTAATTGTGATCATTAAGCACATTATTTAGCAGTTATGATATGACAGTGCAAATAATGCTTGTGGTTTTGCTGATTCACAGTGAAATTCTCAGTATTTGTTCAAAAGAGGATTAATTTAATGGAAAATGCAGAAACTGGGTACTTCTCTCTCTCTCTCCCTGCTCTTGCTTTCAAACATAAAGAAAAGCTAGCATTGAGTCAAACACAGCACATGCAGTTGTGCTCCTGCAGCCAGACCATGTGCAGCACATGGAAACCGGGGCCATTTGTATGGGCATTGCTGGGTGTTTGCCCAGGGATGTCCCCAAAAATTCAGGCAGCCTCCTACCCTCCTTAGCCCCACCTGCAGAGCCATACAGAGCTTTGTGCCAGCTGCTGCCTGGCCTAGGGAGGGTGGATTGCTGCAGCTTGCCTGAGCAGCCAGGTGAACGTGCCCTAAGCAGAGCCCAGCAATACCTCCTGCATACAAATCAATCCGTATAATTCTCAGTAAAATGACCACCTGTGGGAATGTGGGACACCTCTGGGATTTGTAGTGGACATACTGGAACAAACCCACAGCTGTGTTGTCCTTAGGTTGTTGTTCAATCAATGAGCTCTGAGAGCTGTTCTGGTTTCTACAAATGAATTCCTGACCTGAAAGCACTGCTTACTAGACTTCATTGACAAGGTTCATGTTGGGGTAATTCCCATAAGATGTGGGGGTGGTTTTTTATGATTTTGCTGGGGTTTTTTTTCTTCCAGACACTAGCAAAACATCAGTGGCTAAATCTGGTAATTGTTCCTCCTGCTCCATATCCTTCTCCTACAGCAAGAAACTGATCTCAGCCTCGCAGCATCAAAAAGCCCTGTGGCCCTGTTTAAGGTCAAGGTAAAAGAACTGTTGCCATTTCAAATATATCACCTTTCCAAATGGAATGCTTTATTGCAGTTAATACTTTTTGTGACTACAGGCTATAGATCTGCAGAGGGATTACATACTGGTAAGCTTGTTGATTTGTCCCTCAACATGGCTGTATCCAGGCATAGTAAAAGCCCCTGCTAGAGGTATCCATCTATCCCTTCCTCCTCCATAACCCTGGCTGCAAAATAACTGCTCTCCTAAAGTGCTTTTTGAGGCTTTACCACCAGCAGCTTTTCCAAGCCAAGTCTATGAGAAGGAAGGATACCTCTTAGCTATAAGCTTGCTGATTTTATTGCTGAATGATATTATTGCTTTAAGTGAAACTGCAAGGAGCAAATGGCACAAAAAGGACTTAGACTGTGACCTGGCAGCAGGAGACAATGCTAAGCTAGTCTAGTTTTCACAGTTATTCCCTTTGCTCTTTCTTCCAGGCAAGGGAAATGTTGACTTGTTCTGGGACTGGGACAGTTTGCTAGCTAAGAAGGTGAAGGGTTCAAGCAGTGTTTTCCGGTCTGTCACAGTCACTTCCCACAGTCTCACTTTCTCAGCCCTTGCCCATTGCTGTGCTGCTTCTGTTTCCACTTGCCTTTGGTCCAGGAGGTCAGTTTTGTTCCCCAAGACAATAACTGCAACCTACAAACCAAACAAGAGGGTGAGCTTTATACCAAAACCATCCACCAGTCACCATCTTTTTAAACAGTGGGCAAGTACCAACACAGTTCAGTCTTGTTCTGTAACTTAGCACTGGCACAAGGTACGTTGCATGTAGATTAGAATACCAGGGTCTGGGATTTGAATTAGCCTCATCTGCTTATGGGTTGGAAGCTTGTTTTAATCATAGGATATGCAGGACTTCCCCTTTTTGCCACCCCACTCCCTGCCCCCAGTGATTGCTTGAAGGGAAACAATAGCCAAGAGATCCAAAGTTAAACAGCCCCATTCTCCACTTACTTGGCAATTGAGCTGCCCTGGACAAATGATAAGAGCATGACATCCGAGTAGGTCACAGCAGCAGATGCTTGAGGGATGAAAAAATGCACAGCAGCAGAGAAAGCCTGGATCCCACAGCAGTGGATTTTGCCGAGTTTGTTTCTTGCCCCAGCCCCATCCCACAATATAAATAAAGCCAACCGTGCCAGCAGCCCGGGCAGGCTGGGCTATGGGCCCCTCTCCCAGCTCAGCCCTGCTGGCTGCCCAGCCCCAGGGCTGAAGGGGACAGTCTGCTGAGAGGGGTAGATAAGCACCAGCAGTGTCCTCTGGGGAGTAGTTTCAAGAGCAGCAGAGCTCTATCAACTCAGATCTGCTATTGTAAAGATCCATTAAGTGACTTGTGTCACTATCACCCAGACAGTCCAGCGTGGCTGAGCTCGGTAGGTACATGAAGCCTTCCCAGTGCTTCAGCACTAGGAAGTGCCAAAGGCAGTGCTGGCCATGTGAAGATACTGCTCCTCCTTATTTTAAGTTAACTGTTCTCTAAAAATGTTTTACCAGCACCAGCTCTTAGGGGGAAACCATGCCTACATTTTTAGTTCAAGGTCCTTAGTCAAACTCTGTTTTCATCTCCATACTAGTGGTTTGACAAAGATCAAGTGATAAAGTCCTCTCTTGATGATGATTTGTGGGGTTTGCTGTGGCCACACTTGCTTGCTCTTTCCTGTTCAGGCTAACTTCAGAATGCCTTCTGCTTCTTTCCAGCTAGAGATGTTTGTCCTGTTCCTGTGAGGTCTGAGACTTCCTTTCTTTTCTACAGCAGTCCAGGGTGTTTGGAAAAATGCTGCTTAGGGTTTTTTTTCCCCTTCTGTGAAGGCTTTGAAAGAAGCTATAATCTTCATGTGTATTTACTGCATGCTCCTGCTGAATTTTAGCTATGGCAAAGCTCTGTCAGTGTAACAGAACAAAACCTCTATTTAGTATAAAATTTGGCCAGGCTTTAAGGTGCATGCTGGAGAGCCCCCACAGCCAGCAGAGGCAAGGAACCAGCCATCAGTGCTTTCTGTCATCTGCCACACAACAGGGGACTGTGCCACTCAACGAGTTGAAGTTCTGCCAGCTCAGAAGCACCATGTGTGGAGATACATCCCCAATTCAGTAAAGAATTCATTTCAGCAGAGCCCAGACTTTAAGTCACAGAATCATTAATCTGCTGATTAACAGTTTACCTTAAGGTGGGACTCCTGATCTCACCTTGTACACCTTAAAGCCTGTCTTTTATGGAAATCATAGGAATGAAAACTATTTTATGCATCTGACTGTGGCCACCACTTTTTTAACCATGTTATCCTCAGTCAGAATCAGAGTTTTAAGCTCTCCAAAAGGACAAGCAAATTGGCTTTTTTCTAAAATACCTGCATGCACTGAGAGAGAAGAGTTCTGACAGGTAACACAGATGAGCAGGATGCAGATCCTGTTGGGACTGTGACTCCTTCTCTGCATTACAACATGCTGTATAGTACCAAATCAGGGCCATCACAAAACACAGTGCCTGGGAAAAATTTCCTGCTTGTCCACCTTTCTTTGCCCTGCAGGGGAGTTATGCTTGACTCCTGCATCCCTGATATACGTGACAGTCTGCAGCTCACACCAGCCCTACCACCTAACATGCCTCTTCTGTGTCTGCACATTCATCTGCCATCAAACCTGAGCCTGCCTTCCTCTACCACCCTGTGTGCTGTCAGTACAAAACAAGTTACATTTTTGCAAAGTCTCTCCCTACCATTATCCAATTAATTCTTCATGCTTTTTTTTTTCTTTTAAACAGCATAAAACAGGCATTTGGAAAGCTGTAGGCTAAAGACATTTAACAGGGAAAACTACTCCACAATATAGATACTGTAGGAAAAGCCGTAATGCTAATGCCACATGCAAGTTATATTTGTTTAGCTAAGCTGGAACGCTGTCAGCTGAAAACACTAGCTGCTTTCTAAGGGAAAATAGAGCAGTCATTTCACACAATTGAATTGATTCAATATGGTTGTTAAAATACATTAAAGCTGCTTTGCCAATTGACTAATGTCTGGGAGACCCATTGTCAATTACACTAGTTTGTAAGCCATCAAGTACATGAATACAAAACAAACAAAGATAATGCCCTTCGTTACATTATTCTATGCACTTGACTTCCCCTGTACAATATCTAGAAAAACATGAGCTGCACTGCTGTAGACCATATGTTTTATTAGTCATAAGTGTCCTGGCTGGTGCATTCAGCTGACTGAATTTTAGCTGTAGTAGAGGAAATAAGGAGGGGGAAAAAAAGCATTCTTTTGAACGACCTGCATGACATGTGAATTAAGCTTCCCTGGCATGTGAAGGCCTCCTTTTTGCTGGGTTGCCCAAGGCTGTGGGTACCTTCATTTTCCTTTGTACACAACGTTTACAGAAACAAAAGCTGGGCTTTGCGACCTTAACTTCCTATCACTGCTACAGCGTTTAGCCAAGCATGCATTTACCTCCTTTTTGTCCCTGAAGACATCGATCTCCTTTTTGAGCAGTTCGACTCTCTGGAACGCCTCGAGGCTGGTCACGGCGTACACCAGGACGAAGCCGTCAGCCACGGAGAAATAGTGTTTGGGCAATTCCACGCCCTCCTGCAGACCCCTGGTGTCATAAAGCCGCAACTGTTCCTTCACGCCTCGGTCTGTCTCCACCGATGCCAAATACACATCTTCAATTGTGGCACCCTCTTCTAAGCCTGTTTGAAAACAAGCAGGAATGTTCCACTGCTCTTAAGTACAGCCTCACTATAAGAATTCTTTGCAGTGCAGCAGAATTTTGCCCCACAGTAGTTTTTAGTGTGTGTTTTACAGAGTGACTTGACCAGGCCTTGACCTTGCCTGGCATCTCCAGGCTGAATTCATAGATTACTGCCCCAGCTATTTCCAATAGTTTTACATTAATATGTAAGCACATGATTATGCCTGTAAAATTAATCTATGCAACATGCACATTCAGAATAGGATAAGATATATGCTCTCCTCCCAAGTTTTCCAAACTCCAACCATCCAGTTGCACCAGTTCTGTGCCAAACATGCTGCAAAACAAGCCTGCCCAAACATACCCTTTTGGAACAACAGCCAGGGAACACCAGATAGTCAAGTACTAACATCTTAAGCCTACTTCTTTGCCTCATAATGAGCTGGATCATACTGCAGAAGCAGGAGCCAAAGGGATAATTCTGGAAATGAACGTGTATTAGTGGTATAACTAACCCATACGTGAAATTAAGCCAGAAAGGGAAGGGAATGTTTGCAGACAAACAAAGTTCCATACTATATTCACTCAAATACACAGTGAGCTTTTTCCATCCCCTAGGGATTTAAAATTACTCAGATTGGAACAAGTTCATTTACTGCAAGGCAAGAGCATGCACAGGGTAACAAGCTTTCATATATGTATCGCCTGTTCCACCCTGACTCTCTGCATACTGGCCCTCCTTCCCTCCTCCTCTCCACACAGTATAAATGTGAGGTAATTCAAGGCAGCTTGCTTTGAACTAATTAAAATTATTTTTTCCTAAGCCAAACCTGAAAACACATCAATCACCTTAGCTTTGTGTTCCTCCTGGATGCAGGTGCATAAGGTTACAGGTTGAAACAATCTATGTATAGTGTAGCTGGGCCACTTTCAGAGTTGGTTTAAAGTATTCATATAAGCCCTCTGCAACCCACGTTTTTGCCTCCACTGCACTCCTATATACAATTGTTTGCTGCTGCAGGACTACAATAATGAGTCCTGCTTTATTCTCTTTGTCTGTCAAAAAGGGACCATTTTTAGTGTATTGTTTAAGAAAACACAAGGGATTATCTGGCCTATGAAAATAAGGATTTTGCTATATTCAATGACACTATTCAAAACACTTCACACTGACAAACAAGCTAAAGCATTCCACCCACGCTGACGGTTTCCCGTGATGTATGCAGCATTCCAGTGCAGGAAAGTGGCACAAGCTGTTCTTTTTGCCCCTCTCTGTGCAGTCTTCATAGATCAAACTCTTACTAGGTTTCCAAAGATTTAATTTGTCTCGCCTCCAAATATAGCCACGTTAATGTGTGGGAGCAAAACTAAGAACAGAAGGACAAAGCAAAGGTTAATGAAAAGAGGAAGCACAAATGCATCCTGTGTGATTGTAGAATGTGTCAAAGGGTCGCTTTTAATGATTGAGGTAGTAACAAAGCCCTTTCTGGATATAGCACTGTTGTTTAGACACAGCACTATATTCTTGCTCTGCCTTGCTGCATTGTACAGACAGGTCAAGGAAATATCTAGCATCAGTAAACATGGCTTTGGCAAGAAGGAAGGAACCATAAGTACCTAAGTTTTCTTTTTCAAAAGCAACAAATAATATTGTACAATTTTTAATCCTCTAAATGCTACATTGTTATCCAACAGCCTCTAATATATCCTTGTTATCCTGTGACAATCTCTTCCTAATGGCATTAAAAGTAGCAGTGAAAAGTGTGTATTTTAACATCCTATTTAAACACAAAGAGGAAAATTTAAGACCTGGGACTTAACTCAGCAGAATAGAGCAACAAATTTTGATGTGAAATAGGGGAGGGCACTTAGGAGGGAGTTGAAATTTATGCACCAGTATCAGATTCCAGAGGTGAAATTTCACCTACATGCACTGGGGGAGGGAGTATATACAAGTAGTTTCCTAAGTAAACATAGACAATTTTTAGAAATACCTGTGCCACCTTATTCTAGGCCCTGCTCCTAAAGCCCAAACCATGTACCAGCTGTATCTTGCTGACAATGTCATTTACATTTCTTGTTAGTAGCATCCCATTCAAACACTTCCTAGGTCTCCATTCAAAAATGGGTCAGGCAAGTTGTTGTAAGAGAAGCAACACTAATCAGTGTCCTAGAAAGATGCTGGCACCATCCCATCCTCCCTGCCACAAAGATCCTGATTCTCCTTCCCTTCACTGGCATCCCTGGGCATCCTTCCACCACCTCCACCTGGGTGGGCAAGGGCAGCTTGTGCTGGGAAGTTACTGTCCTGCAGACTGCTGCCAGCTTGACTAGTTTTTCCATGGAGCAGAGCACTGCAGTGGGCCAGCTTTCAGGTTCAGAAGCTGGAGGGGTGAAGGGGAACTAACAAGATAGTGCACAATGTCACACTTCCTTTGAAAACTGAAGATATAAAAAACTTGGAGAGGGAAAAGAGGAATAGACAGAAGTGATGCTACTCTCTAGCACCTACTTAGCCAGTGCAAATCTTAGGAGAGGCAGAAAGGTCTTTGTTTTTTACCGACTGCTGCCACAGAGGAACTGCAACGGGAAGCCTCAGTCATAAACTGGGTGTTGTTCCAAACCCTTGTGGCTTCCCAATGAGGAAAAGAAAAGGCTCAATGTACTAATGAATACTGCACACTTAGGCCAGGCACAGCAGATAAACTGCAAATACCTAAGTAAATCAAAATTTCAAGAGGGATGGAAATTCGAAAGTTCCCAGTTGGATCTTGAACATTAATGCAGTACAAATTTTGTGTCTTCTTGAGTACTTTTGAAGATTTTCTCTGTAATACCTTTTTTCCTTTTTCCAGAGGAATTCCAAAGAGCTCCTAAAACCTGCTATTCCTTATGTTTGTTAACTGCAGAATAACAGGCTTTTCTTATTAAGATCTCAAAAGATCTAAATAAGTGTATCAGAGGGTCCCTGACTTGGGAAAGAGGTGGATAAACCTCAAAAGGAGCTGATCTGTTTAGCTGCTAGGGAAGTACTGGTCCCACCAACAAATAGCCAGGTTTTGACTCTCAGTTATATATATTCAGTTCCATTTTCGTTATTTCTAAAATACAAGCTGACTGCAACTCTATCACCAGGTAGTTTTAATTTAAGAAGTGAAGATGTAAAAAGGCATCTCTGCCCATGGCAAGGGGTTGGAAGGAGATGATCTTTAAGATCCCTTCCAACACAAACCAGTCTATGATTCTATGAATGCATAATTAGGTTAATTAGCCTCCACATCCAAAGTGTGTAAGCCAAAACCCCAAATCCCTCCAGCTGGAACAAGTAAGGCAATTTCTCTCATTATGGCTTCCACCACAGTAATATATGGCGTTTTCATTCCTAGCTAGTAAGAAGATCTGAAGTAACTGCTTATGAATAATGTGACCATACCAGCTATTTACACAGCCAGAAGGCAGAGATAAGTTTTCTACAAGGGAAAGTTCTCATCTCCTCCTGTTGAGCTGATAAGTTTTAGTATAGGCTGAGAGGCCAGAAATATTTTAAAGGCAGAAGAAAGACTCCCTTCTGCACCATCACTGAACAGGAACACTGTTTAAGGAAAAATATCCATCTTCTTTTCAGACATGTCCTGTGCCAAAGCTAAGCCAGCAAGTCTCCTGCTAGCCTGGTCAAGAGAGGTCAGGCCAAGCAGTGCCAGGTACCACAGGTACTTAGTGGGACAATCTCCTGCTGCCAGTCAAGGACCCTGTTCATGACTGAGGAGACAAGACTGGCCCCTCTTTCTTCAGGACAGCAAGGTGAAGGATTTGGATGAACACAACACTTAAGTCACAAAAAGAGAGATCATCCCAGGTATTAGGCAATCACAGAATCATCAAATACTTAAGGCTGAAAAAGATTTCTAAGATCAAACTGTGAGTCAAACTGTTCAATCAGCACTGCCAAGCCCATCACTCAATCATGTCCCCAAGTGCCATATCTGGTTTTTGAACACTTCCAGGAATGGTGATTCCACCACTTCCCTGGGCAGCCTGCTCCAATGCCTGAACTCCCTTTCAGTGAAGACATTTTTCCTAATATCCAATCTAAACCTCCCCTGGCACAACTTGAGGCCATTTCCTCTTGTCCTGTTCTTTGTTACTTGGGAGAAGAGACCAACCCCCACCTGGCTACACCCTCCTGTCCGGTAGCTACAGAGAGCAAAAGGTCCCCCTTTGGAGCCTCCTTTTCTCTCCCAGCTCCCTTAGCTGCTCCTCATCACAGTAGTGCACCAGAGCCTTCCCTTCATCAGCGTAATTTTCCTTCTCTGGACCTACTCCAGCCCCACAATGTCTTTCTCATAGAGAGGAGCCCAAAACTGAACACAGGATTCAAGGGGCTGCCTCATCAGTGCTGAGCACAGGGGGATGATCACTGCCCTGGCCCTGCTGGTCACACCATTTCTGATACAGGCCAGGATGCCATGGGCCTTCTTGGCCACCTGGGCACACTGCTGTACCTGTGTATGTACCACATTCACATGTACAATCCTTAGCAGCTATTTGCCCTGACCTATGGTGATATAGTCCCTACATGACTCAATGCTAAATCTGCACCCACTTAAAACATTTCCTTTTTTTTTTTTCTAATTCCTTGTATTAGTTTGGCGAGAATGTCTGCCTTACAATAGCTACATTATTTTACATGGCTCTAAGAGTGCCTCTCATCTATTTGTCCTCTCCTTTCCCATCTTGGGACACAAGGTAAATTCCCTTGCAGTTTAAAGGCTAGCACAAAACCCAATTTTGTGCTTGTTGCTCACAAGCTACAGGGAACAGATAGTCCTTTTTTTGGGTTATTTCTCCTTCCTGACTACTTTTTCCTATTTGACCTCAAACAATCTTGGTGCCTTTGCAAGAGTGCTAGCTGCTGACCATGTAAGTAATAGTGGCACTTAGGGACTTCATCCATGGCCAGGTAGACCTGAAGGTGCTTGTTTTTCTAGGAAAAGAAACAGTGCAACTGGGTTTACAGCACCACCACCAAGCACACAGCCAGGAGCACGGGCTCAAAGCCAAGGGCTTTACATAGCAGTGTGAAACCTCCAAGGACTCTAATCACTTCCCTGACACCAGCTGTGCCACCACTCCTTTTTGCAGGAAAGTCAACAGGAGGCACGTGAGCACTGACAGACTCGTGGCTGATTTACAGCCAGGAGGAGACCCTCGTGACAGTGGCTGTGACATCTTGGAGAATAGCAGCAGACCTTGTGCTCTGAGCCTCCAACCAAGTTCTAGCGTGCCTCTTGTCACTGAGAGGGGGATGTGCCTGCCATGAGAATGGAAAGACTCCCCCTGTTGGCTCGGCCATCCTCCCCGCGGCTCCTGGGCCCTTGGAGCGGCCGCAGAGCTGCTCCTGACGTCAGTCAGGAAGCACAGGTTTTGAAACAGCTTGTGTCCCTGTTGCCATGCCTGGTGAGCTGCCTTGCTGGTTGGCTCTGAACAGACAGGCTTTCAGCAAACACACTAGTCCCTTCTTGCCTCCAGCCAAAAAGGCCAGCAGCCAAGATGTACATATCAGCTTTCTGGAGCTCACAAGCTTTAGGAAATGTGGTTCAGGATCCTGTAATCATGTTTCAGGTGTGGAAGGGCCACCCCTGCAATGGTAGCACCATTGTGCAGTTTAAAGCAGCTCAGCTAAGGAGCAGTCAAAGACTCACCATTCCTCAAACTGTCCTTGTGTAGTGGGATGCTCACAATGGCATCCTGCCCATGCAATTCAGCAGTTAAATCAATACAGAGTGGACAAGTAGCTGAAGGTCTTCTGGGAACCATTTCCACCAGCCCATACTCCAGGCAACCCCTGCCACAACTGCCTATGTGCTGAGAAAGAGGTAGGGAGGATGGTGACCACTCAGCAGGACTGCCAAAAGCACCAGTTTATTGGTCCATCCCCTCAAGTGTGCCTGATGGCCTGTGTGAGGAATACCAAAATTGCTGGGCCATGGCCACTCATCTCCTGGGGGTGCAGCAGCTCTGTAATGACCCTTTCCATATCTTCATATTGTCTCTGCTACTTGCCCTCTTTGTCTGAATGTCTTAGGAATATGATTTGACCAAAATCACAGAAAACAGGAAACTTTCTTCCTTCTCCCCTTGCACTCCCCATCTGCTATCAGCTGTTCCTTCCCTTACCAGTAACTCCAAAAACTGAGAGCAGAGCTGCAGGCAAGGAAAAATTATCTTTTTAAGTGCAGGGGGGCTGGGGGAGAGGTCTGCATTGCTCCATGGCCAAGCTGGAGCAGGGCATTTGGGAGTGACAGAGGGACACCCACAGCTAAACCCCAGGCACGAGGCCTCCCTCTGGTTATGTCAGCCAGTGTCCATGACGTTGTATAATCATGTTCATGGCTGGCTCCATAAATAGCTCCTCTGATCAGCAACACCCGAATATCCTTCCTGCCGGCGTTGCTAATAGCAGGCAGGAATTAATGCAAGGCAATACGATTTAAGTAACGTGGCCTTGCTCACGCTGCTCGGGTGTCTCTGACAGTCTCCCAGCCCGGCACAGAGGAGAGGCAGGTTGGCAGCAAAGGGAAAAACCTTCAGCCTGCAAAGCTTTGCAGCCTTCACGTTGAAAGCTACACGGGGCTACGTGCCTAGCGCTCAGTAGGATGCTGGAAACAGATGTTGCTGCAACATTAGAGGAAATCCTCCTTTTAAACATGGGTATTAGCACACAGTTCTGTATCACGCTTTGCCAGCAGATTCCTCCCATCCACACATTTTAAAGGTGCAGTGCTGCAAAGCACCATGCTAGAAATCCTTGTGTTTATCCAACAACTTATCCCCAACGTCTAATTTACTGGCTCAAGAAAAAAATGCAAAGTGACTAAACATCTTCTGTCAAAGCCCTGCTGCCACCCCTTGTTTCTAGGTGAGGCAGGAATAATATGTCAGCCTGATGATCATTGCCCTTCCTTTCAAAGCCAAATGTGGAAACAGAGGGAAACGTGCAGGCTCTGCCTTTGTTCCCTTTCTTTTGTGCACAGCAAATATCAGGCATCCTCTCTTCCTCTGTCAAGTCTGTTTTCCCCATGGGGGTTTCTTAGAGAGCAGAGACACTTGGCCTTCAAAACTCAGCACAGAACGTGGAACCTAAAGCTGAGCTCTTTTTCTTTCCACAGCTTTGATTAAATGTTAGCCAAAACCAAGGAAAATAAAGCTTTAAGAAGATGAAACAAAAGTCTAAACAGCATCTACACTTATCATGTGACAGCTATTTATTTTTCAGGCGTCTACGGCATCTTTCAGGGAACAAGATATTTCTTTTGTAAATACGCAGCAGGCACATCACCTACTTTCAGTGTTTGTTTCTTTTTAAACATTCTTGTGTTTTATTACTGGGAACATCATGGAACGGGTTCTTCTCCACGACTCTTAAAAATCCATAAGCAAGGGACTGTGAATTTTAAGAACAGCCCAGAGATGCCAGAAAACCACATAAATTTCCTCCTTCACCTCAGCGCAGTTCGCAGTCCTCCATTATTGGTGTTTTGGGGCCCACACTGACCAAGATGCTAGAAAAGGAAACCACCTCCCCCCAAAAGTAAAAATGTCTCACCGACAGTGTGCTTTCCATAGAGAAGCTGCTCCAAAATCGCAGTCTTTCCCACTGAGGCCATTCCACAAACCACCACCTTGTAGCCCTTTCCCATGCTTCCTGAGGGCCGGTTCCACAGCGGAGCCCTGTGCAGACACGGGAGGCTGTGAGCCCGGCACAGCCCCGGGATTGGGATGGGGATGGGCACGGGGATGGGGACAGGGACGGGGATGGGCACAGGCAGGAGCTGAGCCCACGGAAGGCGCAAGGCAAAGCGCGAAGCAGCGGGGGCACAGCTCCCTCCCAGCGCCTGCCAGCGACTGATATTTTTAGGACTAGAGTTTCCTCCCACACCATTTTTTTCACGTTTTAGGCTGCTGCCAGTGGTGCTGATGCTTGCCTGCAGCCTCGACACTTGTCCTGTCAGGTTTGGGGAGACTGGAAGCACTGGAGCATGCACACCCCCAGGGCAGGGGCTGTGTTTGTTGGTGTGTGTGTGTGCACGGTGTTATTGGGCTTCCTGGGTTTGCAGTGGGATTGATGGTATCTCATGGTACCAGGATGGCTTCTGGAAATGCAAGAAAATGATGGTTCTTTCCCTTTTATTCTGCTCACAGAAAGTTTCTAGCAAAATCCATAAAATGGATTAGGAGCTACAAAACAGGAGAGTTAAAGGCAGAAGCACAGGAAAGCAAAGGCAGAAAGCAGGTGTTCTTGGTCTGCTTTAAAGCAGTTTGATGGCCTGGGGGTTGGTTCTAGCAGGAGGCATCCACCAGCTTGGGGCACTTCCCTCTGCCAGTGAGCCATGGCAGGGCAGCAGGCCCTGACTCAGTTTGCTGATTGGAGCCATTGCCCACAGAGAGAGCTGAAGAGTACCTTTTCTGGACCAGGAGGGGCTGGCGTTGTCCTGCTTCGATTCCAGTTTAACCAGGTAATGCTTCACAAGCCAGGGTGCTCTGAAAAGGATACACTGAAAAACAGAAAGGTCATCCTGCAGCTGCAGGTAAGGAGGCAGAAAGGACTTGCAGGCTGGGAAAGCCTAACTCATAGAATGATAGAATGGCTTGGGTCAGAAGGCAGCTTCAAGATCCTCTCCTTCCAGCCCCCTGCCATGGGTAGGATGCCACCAATCAGACCAGGTCACTCAACCCCCCATCCAGCCTGTGCCATGCCACATGCAGGAGGGAGGGGAGCAGGGACAGGAGCAGATCAGTGCGTAAAGCCAGGGCCTGCAGAACCAGGGACCCCATGGTGCCCTCTCCCTACCGTCCGCTGAAAAAGTTTTAGGATTGGTTTTAGGGCTTTTTTTTTTTCCCTTAGCATTTATTATTTAGAATAGAATAGAATCATTAGGTTGGAAGAGACCTTTTAGATCATCCAGTCCAAACATCAACCCAGAACTACCACTGTAACCACTAAACCACATCATCCAGCACCAGATTTAGATGCCTTTTAAACCCCTCCAGGGATGGTGACTCCACAACCTCCCTGGGTAACCTATTCTGATGCCTGTCCTAACAGTGAAAATTTTTCTTCTAATTCCTAATCTGAGTTCCCCCTGTCTCAGCTGAAGGCCTCTGGTCCTCTCACTGCAGTCACAGTAGAGGAGACCAGCCCCCACCTCACTACATTCTCCTTTCAGGGAGTTGTAGAGAGGGATGAGGTTCCCCTCGAGCCTCCTCTTCTCGAAACTAAACAAACCCAGCTCCTTCAGCCGTTCCTCATAATCTTACGATTTTTAAAATAATTATTATTTTAGAGAGATTTTTTTTAAGGCTTCTTTTCAGGGTTTTAAGCAAAGTCCCATCCCAATCCCGGACCGGGGGCTCTTATGGGGGCTGGGGAGCGGGGGTCTCTCGGGGGATGCCGCATCTCTCCAAGCCCCTGCCCCAAGTGCAGCCCCCGTGCCCCACTGCCCTGGTCCCGGAGCGCGCCCCCGGCCCCCGAGCGCGCCCCCGGGGCCGCCCCCCGCCGCGAGCGCGCACCTGGACAGACAGCCGTCCCGGCCGGCCCACGGACCCGCGCGGGCCCGCCCCCGCCGCCCATTGGCGGACGCGGGGGGCCGGGCCGGGCCGGGCCGGGCCGGGCGGGCCGGGCGGGGAGGGACGCGCGGCCCGCACCCCGCAGGACTACATTACCCATGAGGCAGCGCTGCCGCCGCCGGAAGTGTGTTGTGGCCCGAGGGTGTGTGGGAAATAGGGCCTTTCCTTTCCGTCGCTGGGCGCCATCAGGTGAGGGCCGGTCCGCGCGCGGCCTTTCCCTCAATCCGCCCCCATCCCAGGATCCGGGTGCGCATCCGCCCGTCCCGCCGCTGCTCCCGCCCGGCTCCGGCTGGGATGGGGCTGCTCCTGCGGCGCGGAGCCCCTGGGAGGCCGGTGGAGGAGGGCCCGCGGGCTGCGCCTCGGTGGGGCGGGGAGGGGACCGGGGCATCCCGGCTGGCCCTGGCGCGCCACAGCGGGTGCGGGTCGGTGACAGACGGCGCGCCCTGGTTTGCTCCGCGTTTGCGGTTTGATCGTGGGGATTTTTGTGCCATTAGGCCGTGAAAGGGTGGGGTGGCTGGGGATGGGAATGGATGAACTCTAGCTGGGCAGGTTCAAACAAGAGGGGTATCCAAAATCGCACCCGAACTGTTTGTGGCGTGGTTTTTCGTGTAAATAAAGTGAGCTGCGTGTATCTGATGGTGAGTTGGGCTGGGGGCTTGATGGAGATCAGGTACACGTGCTGATTGCTGCAGATGTGTAAGGCCTCAGAGGTTTTTAGGAAAACAGCAGTAAACATGATGACAAAATACAGTAATATGTGATTTTTGAAACGCCTTCAGCTGTTAAGACATGTTAATTTAAGACATATTTACATTATGTTCATGTTATTAAGACATATGCAGTTCAGAAGAGGGAGTTTGTAATAATCACTGTTTTCTACAGACAAAAATTGACCTGTAAGAAATTTGTGTTGGGCCCTTGCTGTGCTGAAGACATTACAAACTACCCCCAGTGGTGCTCAGCAGAAACGATTTTTAAAAACAATTAGAAAAAAACTCCACAGGGCATCTGTGGAGCATAACACAAATGTCAGCAGCAGTAGGACAATGAGCTATGACACTTCTTTTTTAGTATGACACGGTCAGTATGCCTCATTTTACTTAAAACCCAGTTTCGGCAAATGTGGAGGAAGGCCTTGTCTTTCCTGGGATGTGGGAGACACCGTGTGAATAGCTCTAAGGAAGCAAAAGTCCCAATCCAATTAATTCCTTAAGCAACTGTTAAACTTCCACTTACTAAGAAAACTTTAAACTTTCACTTAGAAGTAAAAATTTTACTATAACATCAGAGTTAACACTAACTCCTCACAATCCTGTAATTCTTGATAGATTTGTGTCTAAAACTCCAGCCAGGTGTTTATTATTGGATTCAGTAGTATCAGACGTAGCGCAGCTGAAAATTTCTCAGTTGAGGAGTTTACACTTCAGAATAAATAAAAGAGGAGGAAAATTGCTGGGAATGGTGACTGCAGGTTGTCATGTTGAAGGCTGCCAGGTGTGATCCACGTTCCCAGATGTGTCAGTGGTACAAAGAAGCGTGAGAGCTCCTTGTCTTCCAGTGCTGCTCCATGTGCAATTTGGTGCGCCGCCCCTGTCGGAAGATGTTCAGATTGGGAATTGTTCTTGCTGCAGTGTTTCACTGAGCTCTCTATCCAGCAGGTAGACAGACATGGGTGCCTACAAGTACATCCAGGAGCTGTGGAGGAAGAAGCAGTCGGACGTGATGCGGTTCCTGCTGCGCGTGCGCTGCTGGCAGTACCGCCAGCTGTCGGCCCTGCACCGCGCCCCGCGCCCCACGCGCCCGGACAAGGCCCGCAGGCTGGGCTACAAGGCCAAGCAAGGTAATGGCACGGACAGGTCAGGTCCCTGTGCCTCACCGTGGAGGGACATGGCTTCCTGCAGTGACAGCAGAGTATCAAAGTCTGAAACTGAAGTATCCCCCAATAAACGGAAGTGTCCTGCATGAAATTAACAGAATATCGCAAATGTCCTCAGTTGGTAACAGTGCCCACAGCCTAAAACCTGACTTCACTTAATTTCACATCTGTGCCTTCTGGTGAAGCTCAAGTGAGCTTTGGTCTCAGTTTTTGTTCTTGTGCAGTGTTAGTGCCACACAATTGAGCAGGGGTTTTAGTATCCTAGGTTTGGGGGATGTCCTTACTCTGACCAAGTTTTGTCATCTGTTACTTCGACTTTTTTTAGGTGACTAAACTGTGACCTTCTAGCACCTTGAAAAGAGCTACCAAGAAATCTGGATAGAGACACAAGAGCGTGTAGTGACAGGACAATGGAAATGGTTTCAAACTGAAAGAGCAGGTTTAGATTAGATACTAGGAAGAAACACTTTACTGTGAGGGTGATGAGGCACTGGAACAGATCTCCCAGAGGAGTTGTGAATACCCCATCCTGGCAGTGTCCAAGGCCAGGTTGGATGGAGCTGTGAGTAAGCTAGTTTGGTGGAAGGTGTCCCTGTTCATGGCAGGGGGCTTGGAACTGGATCTTTAAGGTTCCTTCCAACCCAAGTCATACTATGACTGTATTACGGCTGCATGCACTTGAGCAAGATGATGGAGTTTATACTGTCATTGAAAAACAGTTACTGGTCAGGAAAAGAAATGGGATTAGTGACTATCCATGTGGAACTTGTGGAAATCCATTTAAAAACCCAATATATTTATTCACAAAGGAAATAAAAAGCTAGGAGTTGACACTTCTGTCACTGTCTAGTTTTGTCATTTCTCAGTGACGAGATTTCAGCAGGGTTTGTGGATGGCTTGTGCCTCAGTGCTTTTTGAATGCTGCCATTGAATTGTGCAGTTTGGGTAGTGGCTTTGCTGGTTGGTGGGGGTTTTTTGTTTGGTTGGGGTTTTGGGGTTTTTTTTGTTTAGTTTTTTTTTTGGTAGAGTTTTTTTTAATGATTGTATTACAGTTTAGCTGTAGCTGATCTTAGTTGGTTTGGGACTGGATAGTGGAAAGGTGCCATAAGCTCTGGTTTGGAGGCAAAACCAGTTGCATCAGGAAATGACTTTCCTTACTCACTTGTAATGAAAATAACAAAAACATCTTGCACTATCCACCCCAAGTTGTAAATTCTGGTAAAAATTGGTAAAATGACTTTGTGTTGCAGCATTTCATGTAAATTTTGGGGGATTGGAAATGCAGTACAATTGCTGCTAGAATTGTTGTAGTTCCTAAGTCACTGTTTGTTTCAGGTTACGTTATTTACCGTGTCCGTGTTCGCCGTGGTGGCCGCAAACGCCCAGTCCCCAAAGGTGCAACCTATGGTAAACCCGTGCATCATGGTGTTAACCAGCTCAAGTTTGCCAGGAGTCTTCAGTCTGTAGCAGAGGTGACTATTTTGGTTATTGCTCACAAATTTGGGTTGGAAAATTTTAATATTCGGAGACAAAAAATACAAAACCAAACCAGCTGTTTTGTTAGTAAGTTGTTAGTAAGATTTTGAATAATGATGGCAGGAAAGCAGCAGTCTTTAAAAACTCTATTGAGACAATAAAAAAACTATTCAGACTTTTATTCAGACTTTTAAAATGGGGTCTATGGAAACCACTTGAGTGGTTTAGTGAAGTTCATACTTCTCAAGTATGCCACAATATTTGTTATGAAAAACACATAACTAGTCCAAGCCACAGTAAAATAAAGAGCTAGGCATGAGAAATATGAACTTGCATTTGCTAAGGTGTGGATCACCAGCTGTAGGTGATGTCCTTTCACAAAGTAAACGTGAGTTCCTGTCTTAAAGCCTGTAGCACCTGTTTGTGTAGTGGTTCTGCACAGCACCCTTAGATGTATTGCAGGAGCTGAAGGCAGTGTGCCAGAGACCTTCAGCTTTATAAAAAACTGGTACCTCACAAGCACACAGCTTGGTGGTTGACTTATTTTTAGGTGAGATCTTGTTACTGAAATACTCAAAATGTAAACTTTGATTTGATGAGATCTTGTAAGCTTCATTGCTATCACAGTTGTAGTCTGGAAGAGGTGGAGTTCTCACCTTTACAAAAAAACCCTCTTTCAGTGGGTTAGAGTTAATGCCAGGCTGCATTCTCAAACTAGACATTGTGGAAGAAGGATAAGTGTCATTGCCTTTCCATCTTGAAGCAGAAGACTTTTCTGTTCTCAGGACTTCAAAAATATTGCTGAGTGACTTCTGCAAGTTGAATATGGTGGGATTTTTTTTTCAGGGAAAAAATATAAATGATAAATAAATATAAATGGGACATGCTTATTTAAAAGAAACACAGGTGATGAGTTTGAATTAAAAATGCTAGTCTGTTTTCAGTGCTCATGGCATTCTCTTCATATGTGTTATTCCCAGATACCTGATGGCTAATCACATGCTCACTTAGGACAGCTATGGAAGAGGTTATTTGCCCTCAGTTTTAGCTTCAAATTTTCTGAATCTGACACAGTCTTTCTGGAAGATTTACATTTTTCAGATTACAGAAATGCAGAGCCTCAGTTGGAGCTCCCCTCCCCAAATAGAAGTTGGCCAAGGATGATTTGTGTTCTAATATTTCATACAGGTGTTGCTCTCACACTAGAATAAAAGGACTTTTAAAAATGTTATTCCATGTACAGAAAATAGTCTACCTGTTTAGGAAAGCCTGAAACAATAGGCTAGGATCACATTGGGGAAGAAGATGAATGGGGTCCATTGATTCATGCTTCCCTATAATGATGATAAAGTCCTACAATTAAACACACTTAGTGTGTTTTAAATAAGGAGTATTCTTGACAGGAGAAGCAGATTGAGTTGCATAATTGTGTTTTTCTGCTTTGTTTTGTTTTCTGAACTAAGATTGTGTCTTCCTAACCACAAGTGAGGATAGGAATAGCACACACTAATATGCCAGCAGCAGTGGTACAAAGATTTGTTGCATCAGCTATTCTTTCACTCCTACCAGTACAGGCTTACACTCTGCAGAAATTTCTTTCTCCCCTGTAGCTTTGGATGTGGAAATTAATCGCTTTCATAACTTCCCATTAAAGATTGTTCCATCACCCCAAGTACAGCTCATGCTTTTCATATTTATGTTGAAGTTATTCTTAATATTGTGTTTTTACTGACTGGGTGCTTCTGTGTACAAGGAGTTCTTTCTTTTGTATACCAAGCACCTTCCTGCTCATGGTCTTTAAAACCTGTTTCATGCAGGAATCCAGACAGCCTTTTTTTTTTTGTAACACAGCGTTCTTTTCAGCTGTTACTTTTCCTTGCACCTTTGCATCTGGAAGGGGATGAGTTTTTATAGGAAAAGAGGTTGTCCTGGGGAAAATTGAAATTTAATGTTTGAGTTAGTAATCTGTATGCATGAAGAGTGCCCTGCGTCCATGGTTTCACAGCCCGTTGCATTTATTTTTTCCTCTAGGAACGTGCCGGCCGTCACTGTGGGGCTCTGAGAGTCTTGAACTCGTATTGGGTGGGTGAAGATTCCACTTACAAGTTCTTTGAAGTGATCCTGATCGATCCCTTCCATAAGACCATCCGGAGGAACCCCGATACCCAATGGATCACCAAGCCCGTCCACAAGCACAGAGAGATGCGCGGGCTGACGTCGGCCGGGCGCAAGAGCCGCGGCCTCGGCAAGGGCCACAAATTCCACCACACCATCGGTGGCTCGCGCCGCGCCGCCTGGAGGAGGCGCAACACCCTGCAGCTGCACCGCTACCGCTAATCCTTGTAAACGCGGCCATCCAATAAAGATCGTGCAGGTTGTTCAATTCAACAGTGCTTCTGCTGCTTCTTGGGTTGTGTGGATAAGCGTAGAATTCTCCAGGAGTTTGGGTGTTGCCATATTTTGACAGGCTTTTGAAAATGTAATTTGATACTTGTGGAGATTGTAGGCCCCGACTATAGAGTTCTGTGATGGGTTTCACTTTGGATAACATGGAAGGATGTGTGCAGTGTGTATTGAAAGCCCAAGGGCTGGTCCATGTTCTTTTTTCTTTTAGTCTGACTTTATTTAGTCACTGTTTGTAGGTTGGGGTCTCTGTTTGTCCTGTGCTTAGACTGAAGGCCAGCTTTGATCTTGTGCAATGAGATGTAAACTGAAAGTGCTCATTTATTTTTTATGGGTAATTAAATACTAATGGCTATTTTATTTTTCAAGTTCTGTTTTTTTGTACTTCTTCAGTATCAGCTCTTGGGCCTCTCAGCTACAAACATCGTCTAAATGAGCTAAACACAGAATAGAAAGGTAAAGCTTGTTCTGTTCATTGCAGTGCACAATATTAAAAATGTGAGCACGTTGCAAAGAATGATAAGATTTTAGGCTGAATAGTAAAATACTAACTGTAGAGTAGGTATTTTATTTGTCAAGATTGAGGGGGAACAGTTTCTTAAACATTCCTTTTGATACCAGAACAGAAAACATGCATCTGTGTTAAAGAGCTGCATTCTGATGTACTCTGCATGGTTAGGTGGTAGAAATAAACACATTTGGGTAACAGTTAACAGATGAATGTATTTAGACTACTTTTTGTGAAATCACAGTGTGACCTTTTCAGCATGAAGTCAGTTTGCACATAAAGGCTTGGAGATTAAATGCAGATCCTGGTAAATTAGGTGGATGGCTGTCATTGCTTCCACAGATTCTGTGTTATATCCATTAGGTAGTGATAGGAAAAGAGGTTGATAGAAGGCTGTGAAGAAGGTTGACAGGGGTAGCTGTGTCTTTCTGGAACTTCAGCTTGGGATGTGGAATGTTTTGGGTTTTTTTCCTGAGACTTAAAACATGTCAAGATTTTCCCTTCAACTGAGAAATTCACGTAATACTCCAGTTTAAGTTCTTACAAGAGGGTGGTAGTCTAAAGAAGAGACATTTTGGCAGTGTGTTCTCAAAGCCAGGAATTACAGCTCAAGGTGGCAATTCTTTGATGACATCTTTTGTTTGGTTCAAACAAGAAAAATGCAAAATACAAAGTATTAAAGCTATCTCCTCTAAACATGGGATATTTTTTTAGCCTCTCCTTTAAAGTATCACTGATGTTCTTGAAAGGTAGTCCTGTGATGTTGTAGGACAGGAAGTGGAAGTTCCTTGGAGCAGATTTGATGAGTGAGGTCTCCCCTGAGCATGTAGGGGGTTATTGCAGAGAGGGGGCTGCTCTGTCTGCTTTGTAGATTTAATGGCTTCAGGTAGTGCCAGTATGGCCAGTGTGTCCATTCCTTTGGAATTATTTTAGATATTACAGTAGGAATCAGGCTCTATTTTTAGAGCCCAGCTTTTTAATTCATTAGCTGTACAGAGCATGTTTGAACAACATGGTCTAGAAAAAGATGTCCTTGCCCATGGCAGGGGATTTGGAGCTGGATGATCTTAAAGGTTCCTTCAACCCAAATCTATGATTTTTTTTTTTTTTTTTTGGCAATTTCAAGACTGATGATACTGTACTGGGCATTGTTAAGCTGTTTGGGACCCTTGTCATTGATGGGGGAGGGTGACAGCAGGTGACAGGCCAGTCAGCACTAACGCTGTGTCTTTTGCCAGCTTTCAAACCTTGCAGCACGTGGCAGGTGTCTAGAGACCTACCTTAGGTTGGCCCTTGTGGTCCTGTAATTCTTTGAACTTTAAAAGAAAATACTGTCCCCTCTGAAGTTTATTGAAAACTGCTGATGCCAGTGTATCTAAAGGGATGTGGTATCTAGCAGACTAGTGAGGGAATTTGGAACAGATGGTGGTGCCTTCAGAGGATGCTCTGGGTATGTACAGCTCATTCCAAGTCCTTGAAATTGCCTTTGTGTCTTTCCATGCTTCAAGTGTCTCATGCTCTTAGACAGGATTTTGGTTTTGAAGGGACATTGCTGTGCAGAATTTATGTGAAGTAGAAAGACTAATTATATTTTACTAATCTTTACTTTAAAAAGGCAAAACATTGAGGAAAACCTTTTTTGTTTGGGTTTCTTGGCTTGGGATGCCAGGGGTAGAGAGAGGTTATGTGATCTCTGCCTTTCCTACTTGATTCTTGAACCTGTTGTGCAAGTTCAAGAGATTGCAGGTAGTCTGTGTTCCTTAAGATTATGGTAGAAAGCAGTCATCTGAGACAGTCCTAGTGAGAGGCTGTAATGTGAGTTCAGTCCTCCCCAGACACCAAGGGCCTGCCTGAATCAGGGACACTAAGCTGTAGCTGAAGGAGGGCAGGGGAGGGAAGAGGAAGCTTCAGGAATTTCACTAGGCAAATCTATTAAGACATGGAGGAATCTAGTAATCTGTTTCCAAGCCATCTACTTGGCTCTGTTTGCAGGACTGATCATTTCTCAGTCTGAGCAGGCATGTTTGGATGTAATTACAAGAGCTGTCTGGTTTCTAGGCAAGACAAAATGAGCACCACAGTTAAACTGCAGAGAAGTGGGGCTGTACAGTACCAGGCTGGTTCAGCCTGGTTTAGGTGCTGTTGAAAATAGTTGACTGCAAGCTTTTATTAGGCTGGATTTCACTTTTGTGTCAGCTGCCTAGATTAGTTAATCACTCAGCTTTTGGTACAAGGTGAGGACCTGGCAAGGGCACTATTTCTGTCCCGAAGGGTGGGATGTGTAAAAACAGATTGTGTGATTTAGGATGTTCTTTAAATAAGCAAGTAGGAAACTCCCTTCCACATAGCTAATAGAAGTGCTCATTACTTGGCAACCCGAGCTGGGTTGCAAAGCAGGGACTCACTAATCAACAGCGAGTGTGATTGTTTCCTTGCTTTGTCTCGGAAGCATTGGGAATCTCTGCAAGGCAGCTGTGTGCTGCTGGGAGAGGCGCGCTGGCACGATGCCTGCAGAAGGCGCAGATGCTGCTGGAGGAGGCAGTTGGCTCCTTCCTTGCAGCAGAAGGTCATGGAATTTCACTGGTGATTTTTGTGGGGGCCTTAGAATGAAGTAATTAGCGATGGAGGAGAGTTATAGCTTGACTTTCTCACTTATCTCTGTCCTTGTAATGCAGTAGTTGTTCCCTAGCCTTGACCCAGTAGAGAAAAGTGACTGCCTGTGAAGAGTTCTGTACAGCTAATGAATTAAAAAGCTAGGCTCTAAAAATAGAGCCTGATTCCTACTCTATTATCTACTCACTCTCCAAGCTGGGAAAAAACACCATATTTTTGTACATCCCTTTTCTTTTCCAGCAGACACAAGTCTAGTTTGGAGAGTATGAAGCCAAAATACTCAGAGTGATGGAAACACTGCTGCAGCCACAAAAAAAATCCAATTTGGATTTGAATTGGATGCTCTTTTTTGGGGCTTTGAGCGACTACCAACTTTTTGATCCAGTCCTTTTAAAGTAATTGTTTGAAATGTAAAGCTGTATGAAAGGAAGGAGAGAGCCTGTAAGTTGTTCTCTTTATGTGTCAAGGTTCTGAATCAGCTTCAATTTAATAATTACACACAGAGTGTTTAGGTTGCAGAGCCTTGCTCCCTACAGTTAGGAAGTGTCTGAGCTGCACTGCTTACACAACCTTTAATTCAGTGGCTATCCCGCTCTTACCTAATGGGCCAGAAGAGGCCTCTGGCAAAGCCAGGACTGGAACCCAGTTCTTCTGGACCCCTTGTCACTGCCTGAAATTTAAGAGAGCATGCTTTTCTTTGGTATCAAATGATGTTCAATGATATAATTAAAGGCTCTTATTGTAATGAAGATGACATTCAATCTTGTTAAATACTGTAATCTCTCCATCATCCAGGGAAGTGGAGAGCAGGGGTATCCTGGAGATCAGAGAGCAGATGAATGATTAAATTAAGCCTGGCTCTGATAAGACCAGTGCTGGCTGACACTGCTCTCTCAAATGGCAGGTACCTCTCTTCCAAGCCTTCTCAGGTCTCCCTGCTCTTCTGGTGCCAGGCTTTGGGAAAACCTCTCTAGTTAGTATGTTGGACCCTAGCTGACTCCATAGGGGTTTTGCAGTCTGTATCCCCTTGCACAAGAGCAGCAGAGGAGTGCCTCTGGACCCAAGCTGCCTGTCCATGTGCAAGCTGAGGAGTTCTCTTGGAAACAGAGGAATTGAGAGGCACATGAAGGGGAGGGGGGGGAACCAGAGGAGAAGTAAAAAAAAAAAGAACAGAACAAGTAAGCTGGCTTTCAGTGGGGCTTGTTAGTACTCTGGTGCTGCTCAGGGACAGGAACACCTGATAGACAAGGCTACAGCTAGCCAGGGTCCCTCAGGGCTCATCAGCCAGGCCTGTGTGGGGCAGTGCCCACAGTATAAACCTGGCTGAGCAAACCTACAGCTCCTCAGAATAGCTCCACCATGTCTCTGGTATCAATCTGCTCTCCTAAAACACCAGGCAGTGGCTGCATTTCACCAAACCTAGAGCAGGAGGACAGTTCTCAGTTGGTGCTGTGAAATAAATGTCCTGTGTCCAGTGCTCAAGCCCTTCATGTGCCAGGCCTTGTCACCAGGCTGTGTGTCAATAGAGCAGCAGGCAGAAACCAAGACCCTGTTAACTCTGCACTGTGTTCACAAGTGTAATGAAAACGAGTCGTCATCCCCTGAGAGCTCATCCACCAAGCAGAGGAAGTAGCTCATTAGTCCAGTGTTCACTCATTCATTTATTCACACAGTTTTCTTGCAGCATTGTTTTTCTGTGACTAACAAGCAATTATTTGAACCCTTTCCTTGTATGAGAATCGCAGCCCTTCAACTCATCTGCTGTTACACCTGCCTCTCTCACGGGTTTCATGATTAGTCAGATAAGTTTAGATAGCAAGTTACACAACCTTTATAAATTATGTGTTTTGAGCTTTGTGTTTTC